CAGACACACCCACCCACCCATATATATATATATACACACAAAACACACAAACATATATATATACTTATATGTATATATATATATTTATATATATATTTATATATTTATATGCGTGTGTGTGTGTGTATGTTATATGCAGGACTCTACACGTGTCCTTATATACTCTATGCCTTTCTTTTGTTTCTGTTTTCATTTTACGGGAGCGTTGGGCATAGCTTGCTTTCATGATGTCCTGGTCGAATCCACTAGAATCTATGCTTTATAGGTGGGAAATCTATAGCATAATAAGCTGGTCGACTTCAATGCTGGTGTTTCGAAGCCGTGTTTGTTCCATTTAACCTCATGCGTTGGTGAAGGTAAAGTTAGCTGAATATATATATACCCTTCACAATGTGTCTTGATTGCATCTTCTCCCGCCAAATTCCTGCACAAACCTCACATATCCGAATGTGGCGATCCGGAAAAATGCTCATCAAAGACTCGCCTATTTGGCGCTCTTCGCTGTTGACATTTCGGGGCACTAGTCAACTACTATACATGAATAACAGGAAGCACACCAAAACACCTGTGCACATGCAACACGTGTTTCTCATACATTCTCAACGTTCACAGCTGATATCCTTGAGTGCCTTATACTTGGCATCAAAGGTAGTTGAATGTCCATGCCGACTCCGCGATGCGATCAGTGTGGCGTATTGCCACCTGCATCCGGAGCAGCCTCTCCTGGAGGTCAATGGTGATCTCTATTGGGAACTACGAGATAGCATAGTGGTGAGTTGCTTGTACCACCGCTGCCATGCTCCTTGCTAAGTGTTTCAATTGATAGAAATGTATGTGGGGCTATTTATAGACAAGGTTTCTGCGTTTGTATATCTGTTGGGTGTATCTGTGGATACTATCGACTCAGCAACCGGTCGTATGGCGCGCGAAACATTATTGTTGCGGGTTTTATGTACGGCAGGATGAGTATTTGTTACACCACTGGAGTGCTTCCGAGTCTATTCAATGCATATGTGCGCCCGAACTTTGATCGGGTATCTGCATGCGTGACACTTTGATCTTGGCATGTCAACGACACATGGGGGCATCGTCTGACCGTCTGTGTTTCTATCATATCAAACGCAGACGTGTGAGATGCTGATCCTGAGGTGTGTCAACTACAATGTGGACATTGTTCTATCCCACAAGTACCTATATATATACGCAATGGCCTTGTGCACAGCTATGGCGGATGGGAAAAAATGGGCGCGGCAGACAACCCAACTAGCCTATATGATCATCAACGACAGGTACTCTTCTTTTGGTTAGCTTGACACCCGTGTTTGCGATATAGTTCTCCCAAGCGATACCGACCACTTCAGAACCGCATGAAAAGCGTTCTTCGCCTTAGCCACACATTCACGTTGATGTACCGACTAAGTGGGGTGTTACGGCTAAGTGCCCGTCGATGTTCTCTAATTTTGGTTTGTATCTTAAGAACCCTCATTGTGTTCTGTACCTTTGACCTTACGAGTGTTGGGTTTAACGGCAAAGTGCTTTGTACATAGTACTATCATATGTGCATATCCCGGCTGTATGGCGAACCTGAGCTAAATGTTGCGCTCACAGAGTGCTTATCAGTTATGCTACACTTTGCCAGCGGAGCTCAGTGACAACAGAAGTGCCAAATCCACACTATGGGCACAACTCGCAACGAGCATGGCACTACAGGCCTGTGGGCACTAGTGATGTAGTAATTGGCGAATATTATATTTCTTTGCTTTGGTATGCACAGGTAAACTTGCTGACATTCATCACATATGATATTACCGCAATCGCATACGTGACGCGAAAGATACAAACGGTACAATCCATCAAATAGGTCGTTGTCACGGAAACATCCGGGAGGTGCGATATGGTTAGAGCTTAAATCACATCATACAATCTGTAGTGAATGTACCACTGCCATATATATACCACGACTCTATAGAATCATTTCTAACTGGTAGTACTTTCAACGGTACAACTGCCATCACGAACACCAGTTAGACTCCATACAAAATCAAATCCACTCGCACACTCGCAGCTTCCGTTCTGCTGATGTTGTGGCGAAGGCACCGAATGTTATCGCTGCTTCGGCGCTGTATCTATCGTTACGTCTGTTAGATAAATCTGTTGCCATCCAGGGAGAGGTACGTAGTCTTGATTAAATGGTTAAACGGATGCGCATTTTTTTTTCTCGGATTAAGTGCTTGTGAGACATCAGGGTGTGATTGGGCTGTGTAGGTGAATGTTAGGGTCTTACGACTATTGGATAAGTCCATTGCC